ACTCACCAGCCACTCCTTGGAAGGAAGGTTGGGCAATCAACTTCCAGAGGGATACCGCCTCAGAAATCAAAGGAGGGGTCGATATGAGTCAAATCTAACTTGACAGCAGTGTGTTGTGTTTGTTGCATTTTGTTATTACCTTAGTACCCAAACCTGGTAATAAAGGTATGAAACATATATAAATTATAATGCAATAATATTACATAAAATATAAGCTTCAGCAGTATACAAAAGAATAATACAATAAAGCCAAGAAGAATTCATTCCAGGAACACAAAAATGGTTCAAGACTTCCAGCCTAATTGGAGTGGAGTCAGACATACCACACTGTCACTCTACATCAAAGACCCAAGAAACTCAGTGAAAAAGATAGGTACAGAGGACAATCCTGGAACCCTGAACATCAAATCAAAGGATAAAGAACTACACTGAATACTGGAAGAAGAAACTGAATGAAAACAGCAAATGAGAAGAGACAGAGCCTATGAGCCTTGTCAGCCAGCCCAGCACAGCATGGCCATCTTTAGAAAAAGACAGGAGCAATCCTGGGTGCAGAATACAGACAGCAACTTCATGAAATTCCCAACAAAACATAGAGTACATGGGTAAACATACCCAGGGTGAAATAAAGTCCCAACTACTGGCTGCAGCCAACAAGAAGAACCCAGGTACTCTTTCCTGGTGACCAGAGAAGCACACTCCCCACACCCCACTCTCCACCTTCCTGGTGATTACCAGCAATCTCCCCCCCCCCCACAATCTCTGCAGCCTCAACTGCTGGAGACCAAGGTAAAATCCTCCACCTACACTAGCTAGCCCTGACAATTATACTTCCCCCCATTTAGGCCCCCCTACTCCTCCCCAACACCAAGACCATTACTTCTCCTGCTACCCATCAACAAGTGGCAGCAGACTACTTGCTCCCACCCTTGTCCCCCTGCCCAGCAGAAGCAGCAGCAACATGACCCCATGCACACCTGCTTGCAGCTCCCTCACCCCAACTCCAACCCACCACTCTCCTCCTTCCCTGACAAGGAGGAACAAGAGGCAACACATTTTTTTTATGTTGCTGACAGAAATTATCCCTAATGTCACACAAGACAAGAAGATATCCATCCAAGAAGTTCAATAAGCCCCAAACAGGATAAACTCCATAAAAACTCACCAAGACATATTATAATCAAACTTTCTAAAACCAAAGATAAAGAAAGAATCCTGAGAGCAACTTGAGAAAAGTATAATAATGTAACCTAAGGCTGGGCAATCTACTTCTGTAGCGATACCATCTCAGAAACCCAAAGAGGGGGTCACTATGAGTCAGGTCCAACTTAACGGCACATAACAACAACAACAATATAGGGAACCAATAAGACTATACTCTCATTTCTCAGCAGAAACCATGCAGGCAAAAAAGGAAAACAATGACACAGATCAAACATTGAAAGAAAAAACTGCCAATCCGGAATTACATATCAAGTAAAATTATACCTCAAATATGATGACAAAATTAGGATGTTACACAGAAATTAAGGGAAACTGTAGAAACAAGATCGAGCTTAAAAGAAACACTAAAGAGAATCCTTCAGACAACCTACAGCATCAGACAACAGCCTGAGATTAAGACACATGACAACATCACCCAGAATTCAACCCAGAGAAAGAATTTTCAAAAATTTAATTTAGCTACAAGACTAAAAATAAGGGTACTGGAGATGTCAACCTGTAAATAACTTCAACTTCAAAAAAAAAGGGAATAAAGGATGAAGTTACAGAACTTTCATATGGAGAGTAAGTTAAGGTGATATTAAGATAGAACAGACTGTTTTAAACTTGTTGTTGTTGTTGTTGTTAAGTGCCGTCAAGTCAGCCACAACTCATAGCAACCCCTCCTTGGGTTTCCGAGGCAGTATCACTACGGAAGTAGGATTGCCCAACCTTCCTTCCAAGGAGTGGCTTAGGAAGATAAAAATAAAATTCAAAGAACCACAAGGAAAAGTAATAAATTGTCTCACCAAAATAATAAAAAAAAGAAAATCATAAAGACTCAAGAAACACAAAATCAACAGCAATGAAAGAAATGAAAAGAAAATCCATAAACAAACAAAAAAAAAAAAACTCAGACCAAAGAAATCATCAGTAACACATAAATAAAGCACAATAAAATGACAGCTATAAATTCACACCTATCTGGTAGCATGGTGCCTAAGGCACTTGACTGATATCCAGAAGGCTGGCGGTTCAAACTCACCAGCCACTCCTTAGAAAGAAGGTTGGGCAATCTACTTTCATAGTGATACTACCTCAGAAATCCAAGGAGGTGTCGCTATGAGTCAGGTACAACTTGACGGCACATAACAACAACATTAAAAAGTCAGACATAGAGATACCATATGATTGAACAATTCCACTATTAGGTATATATCCTAGAGAAATAAAAGCCATGATACAAATAGATATATTCATGCCCATGTTCATCACAGCAATATTTGCAAGAGCGAAAAAATGGAGAAAACCTAAGTGCCCATCAGCAGATGGACAGATAAACAAACTATGGTACATACACACAACAGAATATTTTCCAACAATTAATGAATAATGATCAATCTGTGAAACATCTCAAAACATGGACAAACCTAAAAGACATCATGCTGAGTGAAATAAGTCAATTACAAAAGGACAGACATTGTATGAGACCACTATTATAAATCCACTGCCAGAGAGTTGATTCTGACTCATAGAGACTCCCGCTGGGTTTCCAAGGCTGTAAATCTTTACAGAAGTAGATTGTCTCATCTTTCTCCTCAGAGCAGCTGGTGAGTTTGAACCACTGATCTGGTTAGCAACAAAAAGTCTTAACCCACCATGGCCACCAGAGATCCTACTACTACTTAAAAAAAAAAAAAAAAAGGCAAAATGTTCATGCACACAAAGAAACATTCTTTGATGTTTACCAGGAATGGGAAAGAAAAGGAAGGAAAATAACTGGATAGTAGAAGTGTATTAACTTGGGTGAAGAGGCAATATACAATAAAGGGGAGGTCAGCACAACATGACCAAGGCAAAGAAAGACACTGTGATGTATGCAACAATAAAAGGCAACAATAATAAATAATATTACATACACAATACAACAATAAAAATAATAACAAACAATAATTTACAAGTGTATACATAGCTAGATAAGCAAGGTGAACAAATGCAGAATAAACATGTACATCCCTGAGCATATATAGTTTTCAAACCAAAAACTAAACCAAACTCACCACTGTCAAGTCAGATCCGATTCATAGCAACCTCTACTTGGGTTTCCGAGGTAGTATCACCATGGAAGTAGATTGCCCAATCTTCCTTCCAAGGAGTGGCTGGTGCGTTTGAACCGCCAGCCTTCTGGTCAGCAGTTAAATACCTCAGTCACTACATCACCAGAGCTCCTTTATATAGGTTAGACATTGGATATTTCCACATACATATTTGTATGTGCTGTACATATATTCAGGTATATAATAGAGAATACAAGGGGCAAAGTTATGCGAACTTCTTAGCCATAACTAAACAAATTGAGGGACTGAGTCATTGGGCTTGAGAGCTTAGGACCATAGTCTCAGGGGACATTTCGGCCAGTTGGCATAACACAGTCCATTAAGATAATGCTCTACATCCTCCTTTGGTGAGCACTGACTGTGGTTTTAAAAACTTGCAAGCAGCCATCGAAAATACAACTATCGGTATCTTCCTGTCTGAAGCAAAGAAAACTGAAGAAAATCAAAGACTCAAGAAAACAATTAGTCCAGAAGAAAAGGGGAACACCGAACCACAGACCACAGACTCCACTATTGAGAAACCAGAAGAACTAGATGGTGCCTGGCTACCTCTACCAACCTCTCTGATTGGGACCAGAATGGGAAAAAAACATAGTGCAAATATTAAAATCATAAAAAATACAAGACTTGCTGGTCTGATAGACTGGTGAACCCCAAGACGATAGCCCTCAGACACCCTTCAAATGTGGAACAGAGCCCATTTACAGAGATCAACTCTTCTAAAGATCTATTGTTGTTGCTGTTATGTGCCTTCAGGTCAGATCCGACTCATAGAGAACCCTCCTTGGGTTTCCAAGGCAGTATCACTACAGAAGTAGATTGCCCCATCTTCCTTCCGAGGAGTGGATGATGGGTTCGAACCACCAGCCTTCTGGTTAGCAGTTAAGTGCCTTAGGCACTATGCTACCAGAGCTCCTTCTAAAGATCTAGACAGAATCAAATTGACAACAGCAACTCAAAAGATTGACAGGAAGCTTAGGGAGCAGTGAGTTTATGTTAATAAGGAGGGACAATTCAGAAAAGATAGGTAACAATGGTTGCACAACTAGAATGTAATCAATGTCACTGAATTGTACATGTAGAAAGTACTGAATTGGTGTATGTTTTGCTGCATATATTTTCAACAATAACAACAAAAATAAATACATATAGATATATATATAGATATATGGCCATAAAAAAAGAATGGTTCAAAATTAGAAAATATACCATCATAATAAACCAAAAGAATACATTATGTCAAAAAACTGAAGGATAAACCATAAGACAATAGTGATAGATAAAAAAGGTATTTCCTAAATATTTAGCCATTTCTAATAAGAACTACACAATACAGTAATCAGATAAAAGTATTAACTTCTTTAAAAAAAGGAATACATATACAAATAATGAATCCTTAGACTTCTATTATTAAATGTCTGAGAGACTCTTAACAGAACAAAATGCCTAAACTATGGTGAAGTTTGGCAGCGGGAATTGAGAAAAATGAACTAAGCTGAAATTTTCAACACATATACACAAAAAAAACACATACATATCTATCTATGTTCACACATACATATAAATAGCATCAAATGAATATATAAAAAGTATGTATATCCCTTCAGAGAAAACGTATATAATATACATAATAGTATACTTGTATTTATTCTGTATTAAGAAAAAAAAAAACTAGTTTACCTGTCTGGGAAGTCGGAACAAGGAATTCTTATAGAAAATGTCCTTTGCCTGGCTCCAAGTTCCATCAATGATGATGATTGTGGAAGGATAAACAGGAGAATCTAATATAAATTCTTCCAAATTAGCAGCTTCAGCCCCTGGATATAGTATTAATGTACCAGCTTTTTGGCAAACAGCTGAAAGTTCAGGATCCCTAAAAAATAAAAAAAGATATTTACTAGCTTATGGAAAAAAGAATAGTTTTATTGTGTTTATTGAATTTCTTAATGAAAGTTCCCCTCTATTCAGTCACTTGCCTAATCAAACTGAGATACTAATTAGTTCATAAAGTATGAATTAAAAGACTCAAAATTTTGCTTACTCTTTACTCATTCATTAGGCACAACTCTTGCACTGTCCCCTAACCTTCCCAATCTTCACAATTCTCCTTCAATAATTACTCTATCCAATTGTTACCAGTGACCTAAGTTTAAACTTACCAAACATTTAAAAAGAGGAACAATCGGAAATAAATATCCTAAGCTTCCACCTTAGGAAGCAAGAGAAAGAAGAGTAATTGAAGCCTAAAACAAGGAGATGAAGGGAAATGAGTTTGAAAAAAAAAAAAAAAATAGAGCAGAAATCAGTAAAATTGAAAACAGGAAATCAACACAGAAAACCAAGGAAACCAAATGCCGGTTCTTTGAAAAGATCAATAAAATTGATAAAACTCCAATCAAGCCAACCAAGACAAATGAGAGAATACACAATTACCAATACCAGAAATGATAGTAGGAACATCACTGATTCCATAGCTAATAAAAGGATAGTAAAAGAATGCTACCAAAAAACTCATTGCCCCAAAATTTAATAATTTAGATGAAGTTAATGAATCATCTGAATAACCCAAACTGCCAAAACTCACACAAGGAAAAACAAATAACATGAAATGCTCCATATTTGTTAAAAATTTTGAATCAATAATCTTCCAAGAATCAAAAAATCACTTGAGGTGAATTCTCTCAAACTTTTAAGGAATAAATAATAATCAATTCTCTACATGTTCCAGATAGTAAAACCAGAGAGAGCATTTCTTAATTCATTCTTTAAAGCCAACATCATTCTAACACCAAAAGATAAGGAAGGACATTACAAGAAAGTAAAACTGTAGACCAATCTATCACTCAAGAACATAGATATAAAAATCCTCAACAAAATATTGGCAAATTGCATCTAACAATACATAAAAATGATTACATACCTAGATCAAGGGGGATTTACCCCAGGTATGTTAGGCTGGATCAACATTTAAACTCAATAAATGTAATTCACCATATCAACCAAATAAATTTAATAAATAAATGACCATATCAATAAATATAGAATGAGAATGTGACAAAATTGAACACTCACTCATGATCAAATGAACAATAATAAAATTATCTCAGCAAACTAGGACTAGAGGGCAACTCCTTCACTGAAAAGAACATTTACAAAATACTACAGCTTATATCATATTTAACAGTGAGAAAGTAGAAACTCCCTCACTAAAATCAGGAACAAGGCTAGGATGTTTTTTCACTCTTACTCAAGATCATACATGAAGTACTAGCTACTGCAATAGGACAAGAAAAGGAAATAAATTATCATTTACAACCACATCCCAAAAAGTGAACAGTTAAGTGTAAATATAACAAAATATATAAAAAAAAAAACTGATTAAAAAATTAAGGAAGATCTAAACAAATGTTTTAGATGTACAGAATTATGGCAAAGATAGTACATAAATTTCCAATATACCCTACACTCAGTTTCTCCTATTACCTAGAAATAAATTATACAAAAATAATAGAAACCAAAATGAAAAGGAGGTTACATGGAATTACACTTCTGTAAGATTCTTATGTTATACAAATAATGATATAATATCAATTCATGGTAGACTGTGATAAATTAAGAATGCATATTGTAATCCAGAGACTAATCAAAACACAAAAGGACAAACCTAAAAAACCACAAAGAGAAAGAATGAAATATTTTTTAAATACTTGATTAATCCAAAAGAAGGAAGTAAAAGAGGAACAAAGAACTAAAGGGTTGTTTTGGTTCTTTAGTGCTGCTATAACAGACATACAACAAATGGATGGCTTTAACAAACAGGGATTTATTCTCTTACAGTGTAGGAGGCTAGAAGTCTGAGTTCAAAATGCCTGCTCTAAGGTCTGAATAAAGGCCCCTCAACCTTGGGCTTCAGCTCTCACTTTTGTTCCTGGCCTACTAGAGCTGAAGGTGTCTCAAGTCAGGCAGCTGCTGGCTGCTGAGGCTGACAAACCCATGGTCAACCAGTAAAATTGCACAGTCCCAAGATTATCAAGCAACATAGCAGGCCACTAATTCAAGTACAGAAACAGTCCCAAGATCAATAGACAGCATGGCAGGCCACTCAAGGATGACTTGGCCAAATGCAGGATCCAAATCTGCCAAGAAGCTCAAGACCTTTCTCAAAGCATCTTCTTTTGGATTAATCAAGTATTTAAAAAATATTCCATTCTTTCTCTTTGTGGTTTTTTAGGTTTGTCCTTTTGTGTTTTGGTTAGTCTCTGGATTAAAGGGTTAAAGGGACTAACAGAAAACAAATATCAAGGTGGGTAAATTAAAAACAAACACATCAATAATTACATTAAATTAAATGTAATAACTCTCTAATTAAAAGACACTGATAGCCAGACTGGATTTAAAAACCAAGACCCAAATATATGGTATTGGTCTTTCTGGATGACTGGCCCAAAGTAAATAAGTTGAAGTCTTGCCATCCTTACTTCTAAGAAATATTCTGGTTGTATTTCTTTCTAAGATCCATTTGTTTGTTCTTTTGGTGGTATACTTGATATTCTTTGCCAGCACACAGTTTAAATGCATCAACTCTTCTTACTTCCTTAACCAATTTTCCCAGGCATATGAGCTATTGAAAAGATTACTACTCATCTGCCAGTCTGTCATGCCGAGGTCCAGCCTCAGCTGTGGGTCTCTGGAGGGAGAGGTGGTGTCGGCACTGTCATACTGTGTTAATATGATGCTGGAAGCTGTAACACTGGGATTTCAAATACCAACAGGGACACCCATGGTGGATAAGTTTCAGCAGAGCTTCCAGATTCAGATAGACTAGGAGAAAAGGTCTAGCAATCTACTTTCAAAATTAGCCAGTGAAAAGTCTACAAATTCTACAGACATTAAAAAGATAATAAAGAAATGCTACAAACAACTTTATGACAAGAAATTCAGCAACTTATATGACTTGTACACTTTCCTTGAAAGATACAAATTACCAAATCTGATACTCAAAAAAAAAAAAAAATAGAAAATCTAAACTGTCTTACAAATTACATTTGTAATTCAGAACATCCCCACAAATAAAAACTCAAGGATCAGATTGCTTAACTGGTAAATCCTATCAAATACTAAAGGAAAAACAGTAACATCATATATAACTTTTTTCTGCAAACAGAGGAGGAGAAGAATATTACCAAGTCATTTATAAGGCCAGGATAAAACTAATACAAAAACCTGACAAGTTTTGCCAAAGAAATTACAACTCCAAATCTCTCATGAACCAAGATATCTAAATCCTCAACAAAACATTAACAAATCACATCTAACAGTATGCAACATGATAATGATAATAGTATTATAGTAGTACTAATAAAACCCATTGCCACTGAGTCAATTCTGACTCATAGTAACCCTCACTGGGTTTCCAGGGCTGTAAATCTTTACAGAAGTTGATAGCCTTATCTTCCTCCCACAGAGTGGCTGGTGGCTTTGAACAGTGTACCTTCTGGTTAGCAGCCAAATGCTTTACCCACTAAACCACCAGAGCTCCTTAATATAACAATAATAGTAATAAATTATTGTGAACAAGAATGTAACATTGGTTTGGCATTTATAAATCAATCAACATAATTAACTATATTACAGAATTGGTAACAGAACTACATGATCATTTCAATAGAAATTGACAAAACAATTGATGGAACTCAACAACTATACATGATAGAAATTCTCACCATTTTAGGAATAATATGGAACTTTTTCAAACTGATAAACAGCATCTACAAAAATGCATAGCCAATATCATATTTAACGATGTCCCCTGAGATCGGGATCAAGGTACGATGCTGGCTTTTACCACTTCTATTAAATATCGTATTTGGAGAGCCTGGTGTTGCCACTCCTCAGAAAGAATGTTGGATGATCTACTTCTGTAGTGATAACTACCTCAGAAACCCAAGGAGGGGTCGCCATGAGTCAGATCTGACTCAACAGCAGTGTTGTATTGCATTGTGTTGTTGTTAGTTACCATCAAGTTGATTCTGACTCATGGTGACCCTGTGTCTTAGAAAGTAAAACCTGTAATCCTAATTAAAGCAGATCACCAGGACTTTCTTACACAGTACTGCTGGGTAGGTTTCAAACACCAACCTTTAGGTTAGCAGTCTACTGTAAATCATCAGAGACTTTATTAGAGAGCCTAGTTATTGCAATAGGCATGAACAAAAAAAATAAAAAGAATAAATATCAAAAAGGAAAAAGTATAAATTGACTGTACTTGCAATGTTAGCACTGCTTATATAGAAAGACCAAGGGAATCCCCAAAAACAATTCCTAGAAGTAATAAATGAATTTAGGAAAATCATTAGATCCAGGGTTAATACACAAAAAAAATCAACTGTTTTCTTATATACTGCATTGTTTTTATTGTTGTTATCATTAAGTCGATTTCAACTAATAGTTATCCCATGTGATAGAATATAACTACCCACAGACTTTTCTCAACTGTAAGCTTAACAGAAGCAGACTGCTAGGTCTTCCTCCTGCAGAGCCACTGAGTGGGTTCAAGCCACCAAACTTTCAGGTAGCTGTTGATCACTTGACCTGTTGTACCACCAGGGCTTCTTATACAGTAGAGGCAAAAAACTGAAATGAACATTTTTTTCATGCCGTTTATAATATAGCCAAATCTACTGTCACTTAATGAATTCTGACTCATAGTGACCCCATTGGGTTTCCAAGACTGTAAATCTTTCCAGAAGTAGATTGCCTCTTCTTCCTCCTGTGAAGCAGCAGGTGGGTTTGAACCAGCAACCTACTGGTTAGCAACCACATGCCTTACCCACTACGCCACTCAGACTCCTTACCATTTACAATAGCATGAGAAAACATCAAATAACTAGGAATAAATCCAAGAAAAGATCTCCAAAATATCTAACTGAAAATTAACAAACATTACTGAAAAAAATTAAAGAACATCGAGACAAATGTATAATTATACATATACAAGGATTGAAAGGCTCAGTATTTTTTAATATAACAATTTTCCTAAATATATCAATAGATGCAATGCAACCCCAATCCAAATTGCATCAGACTTTTTTCCCCAAAAAAAGAAATTGAAAAACTGATTCTAAAATTTATATGGACTGATGTCTAGTTCCAACCAAGACGGACTAGCTTCACTCTTCTCAGGTCTTCCCTCTTATAGCTAAAAATTCCTGGACATAATACAACAAACACTCATAGGAAGACTCTGAAGAAAATAGTGAAGGGCCTAGGGACCTTAGGACTTAAGGAATGACACAGCAGTAACTTTCCAGCCCAGAATTACCAATAAGCACAGGCAAAATAAAACTCTAAGAGGAGTCTATTCTCTCTATTCAAAGAATACCAAAAACAGTATCTTTCTTAATATCTCCCCCAAGGCTACATAAAGTAAATTAATCATTCAATTACCAGACTAACAATAAACCAATAGTCTTAATCTGTTTTAATTTAAAATCCATCAACAGATAATAATTTACTGTGTAAACAGTATATTGGGCACCAAAGACAAAACTAACTAAATGTAATACAAACATTCCACCATATTGAATGTACTTTTTATAAAAAGTGAAATAAACAAGAAATACACTATTTGCCTTTTAGGTTCAACATGTTTTGCTATGGAATTTAAATAACACTATAATTCCTATGTTTATTCCATTTTGTTGTGTTTGTCTTGTATTATTTTCTTTGAGGGGAGGGGAGAACAGAACTTAATTTTTTTGACCACTTCCAATGAAACATGTTCTGGATCTAATGACTAAGTTGAAGGAAACTTTTATAAAATCTGCAAAAGAGTTCCAAAAATCTAAAAAGAGTTCTTTAAAATTGCCCTAAGCATTATTTTACCTTTCTTCACTGAAGCGACGACCAATCTTGACTTTACACTTTTCTTGGGGGAGGCATGCTGCTAGTAGAGGAACTGTCCGCAACACTTTGTTTTCCTTTAATTAAAAAGTTACATCAATTTTTACTCAAACACAATTTTGAAATTTTTATGATGCACATTTGATTCATAACTTTATGTAACATTTCGAGTCTTTGCTATAGACCATAGTAGTTTTATTTTGATATTTTACTTTTTTCTAAAAATTGTTATAATGAAGCATGTATTACATCAATACTAGGAAATCTTGGTAATTTAAAAGTTGACCTCATAATAATCTATCAACAGATATATAAAATGACCTTTTCATATATTCATATATTTTAATAGAATAAATCATTGCAGATTACTATTTCCTATTTAATTCAAATTAAAGTTTCCTACCCTTAGGATATTTGTTAAACTTCTATATTTATAATTTCAATCTACATTTCTTGTTCTATAATGAAAAATAATTACAAAGCTGTTATATATGCCCTCTAAACTGATTATGGAAAATAAAATCCCCATGATTTACAAACATTCACACAAAATTTTAACAGGAGATAAGACTTATAAGACTTAATTTATTATTAAATAGGAGGATAATTTAAACGATATCAATCAGAATTTTGTGAAATGGTATGGTTAACAAGCTTGTGGTCCATGATCATAGGGTTGATCCCAAAACACAGCTAAAACATATTCTTTCTATAAAACCCAAAAACAAACCCACTGCTGTTAATTTGATTCCAACTCATAGCAACCCTACAGGATAGAGTAGAATTGCCCCATAGGGTTTCCAAGGCTGGAAATATGGAAGCAGACTGTCACAGTTTTCTCCCATGGAGAAACTGGTGGGTTTCAACCACTGACCTCTGGGTTAGTAGCCAAATACTTTAACCACTGCACCATACATGGCCCCTTGCCCTTTAAGTAACTAGCCCAAAATCTAGTATAACATACTTTAATTCTTACTCATCCTTCATAACTCATTTTAATAGTTTGCTTAACAAGCAGATTTTGCAGCCAGTATATTACATCTGTACTAACTGCATCTTGTACCATCTCTTTCATAGCATTTCCCAAATATTGATTTGCTGGGATCTTTCTCTCCATTATACTGCAATTTCCTTGGGGGCAGAGAAAAATACCTTATTAAACTTCATATTTCTAGGACATTGTGCCTGGCACATAATAAATGTTCTGTGTTGGTTGAATGACTACGTGAATAAGTGAGTCAGTGAGCAAGTAACTGAACAAACAAGAAGCAAACTGATAAGCCTTTTCTATTCTGGAAATTCCAAAACATAGATATGGAATTAATATGTCCAAAACAAAAGAATACAGGCTAACATGAATGTCAAAATTCCAAATTCTCTCCTGCCTTCTAGCAAAACTACATTGAAAATGTATAATTTCTCTGAAAGAATAAAAAATAGAAGAAAGCATTAGAGACCAACCATAATTTAAGGGCAAAATGAGAAAAGAGGAGACAGGATACAAGATGGCATGTGGGTGATACATTCCACCCAGCCCTTTTACAACAAAGATCTAAGAAACAAATGAAACAGATACAGATGACAATACTGGAATTAACAGCATGGCCATTTTGAGACTGCTTGAACAATTTCTTTTAGAAAGATCAGCACGAGGCCGGTCCCCATGTCCCAAATGTCCAAACTACCATGCCACTCCATCATTTCAGACATTAACTCCTCCTCCTCCTCCCAGTAATTTCCGCAGTCTTAGGGTTCTGTATTTCGCTGTAACGCCTCACAGAACTCACAGACACTCAAGGGTTGGTCTCACGTAGTAGTGGTGGAGGCTGGCAGGCTGGCGAGTCCTGGGTCTGTGAGTAGGTCTGGAGGATCCTCCCAACTCTCGGGGTTTGATGAACCTCGATCAGCAGATCAGATGACAGCTGCTGTCCCAAATCCAGGGGTGAGATGAGGATGATCCAAGACACAAAGCCAGAGCAAGAGGAGAGCGAATCTTCCCAGGAGATTCGTAGGTATACCCTCAGGGAAGCTAAGGGTGATGATTTGAATTATACCCTCCAGCAAGGCAGGACTTAAGATACATTCCACCTGCATTGCCCCAACAGAATTAACCTAAATCCCATTACAGAGTCGATTGCCAGTCATTATAGGGAATGACTAATACCAGCTGCCCAGCCAAGTTGATACCTAACCTTAACTACCACACCACCCCAAATAGACATGGATAATGGGATTTACAAAACATCACAGAATGGAGGACAATGGCTAGAAGGGCCACATCAAGCAATTCACTGTAGAGACACAGAAGGCAACAAAGAAGCCAATTGCACAGAATCCCCCAATAAGACAGAGACACTGTGTAACAAGTCTGGAGTGAAACAAGGTGAGCAGAACCTGACCTAGATCTAAGAAAAGGAAAGGGCAGGGAAGTGGATGAGAGCTCCAGTAACACAGACTAACACAGAGCAGGAAGCAAGCCAGTAAACATGGGTAAAGGCACTCATTAGTAGTGGTCCTAGTCATTTGGGTCAATGGCTCATGCTGAGGAGAAGGCCTGTGTGGTGGCAACTGGAGATGCCACATTCTGAGCAGCCCAGTCCACTTGCTTGTGCTGGGACAGGAACTAGACAACTGGTTACGCTCACCCAGAAGTGTACTGGGCCAACACCAGTAATGGTGACTACAAAAGTACACTTTCCCACCTTTTTTCCCTTCCACACCTTTCCAATGACCAGGAGTGAGCCCCCTTCCCCCCTCAAACCCAGTGGCAGGTGGCACCCTCCTTCTGGCCCTCACCCACGTAGTTTGCTAGGAGCGTCTCTACACCTAACACCCCCAACAGCCCCCTGCCACACTATGCCACAGTTGGGGTTGCACACTGATGTTGAAGGTCCATCATGCACATGCAACTTCCATAGTTGGGGATGCACACTCACAAAGATTGCTTGTGGCACCCCCAATATCTCCATGGTCAGGAGCACACAAGCACGGATCATGCACCAAGTGTCTGCCACCTCTGCAGTCAGAGATACATGCTCCCATGAATTACATGCCATGCATGAGCCACCATCATTTCCCCAGTGACTGAGGGGGGAACACTTATACATATACTATGGCAGATGTCTGCTGCCACCACAACAAATGGGTGCACATCCCCATAGATAGGGCGTGAAATGCTTACCACCTTAGAGGTGCATATGACCACTGCCATACCATTTTCTCTTTTCCTTTTTCTTTTTATTTCCTTTTCTTTTTTCTACTTCTTCCTTTTTTATTGTTTTGTCCCTCTTCCTGTTCTTCTCCCTTAATTTTTTTCCTATCATTCTTTTTCTTTCTGACCTATCCAGCAGGAAGTGGACAATGTACCCCCCAATAAACAGTCATACTTGCCACACCTGCCATCTACTATCCCAACCAGAAGGGTAAGTGCACCAATGGATCAATGATAGATGGTGGACAACACCATCTCACCCCACACACAGCTGCTCTACATGACCAGCAAAAAGAGAACCATGCCCACACTACCATCCATTACTCAACTCACCTGGAGACAGGCAGGGAGCACCCTAGTACTGCCAAACTAGCAACAAAAGTAGCACGCCTGCCCAGATATATCAAAACATCATGGCAAAAAAAAACAAAACATGATCAACAAACAAGAGCAATACGTCTTAGAGACAACAGACAACTACAATTCAAACAAGCAAACAGAAGATGGCTTAAGCAAGTCACCAAAATAAAGAACCCAGAAGCCTCCCTTAGGAAGAAATGGTAGTGGAACTGCCTGATAAAGAATTCAAAAGACTAATAAATTGAATACTACGAGATATCAAGGAAAAGAGAGAAAATACCTTTGAAGAATTCAAGAAAAAAATACAAGAGGAAAAGGACAAAATAAATAGACAATTAGAAACTATAAAAAATAGTAATTAGAAATTCAGAAGATTAACACTAAAATTTCAGAGATAGATAACATATTAGAAGGACAAAGAAGTAGAACCAAACCAATAGAAAACCAGACCAGTGAATTATCAGGCAACTCTCTTGACACCATTTTGTATGAGGGGAAGAAAAAAAATGAAAACAATGAAGAAAAATGAAGAGAGCTTAATAATTATGTGAGACACTATCAAGAGGAAAAATCTGCATGTGATTAGAATTTCACAACGGGAACAGGCAAAAAAAAAAAAAAAACAGAATTATCAAAGATTTGTTGGCAGAAAGATATCCAAGAAACACAATGAACCCTATGCAGGACAGACCCCAAAAGAAAGTCACCAACACATATTATATATAATCAAACTTGGCAAAATCAAGGAAAAAGGAAGAATCTTGAGAGCAGTGTGGGAAAAATGAAATGTTACCTACAAAAGGCAACCAATAAGACTAAGCTCTGCTTTCTCAGCAAAAACCACATGCAAGCAAGAAGGCAATAGGATGACATATATAAAGCCTTAAAAGAAAAAAAATTCAAACCAAGAATTATGTATTTAGCAAAACTATCCCTCAGATACATGACTGTGAAATTAGGAAATTCCCAGGTAAGGAGAAATTAAATTAGGAGCTCTGGTAGCATAGTGCCTAAGGCACTTGACTGCTAACCAGAAGGCTGGCAGTTCACACCCACCAGCCACTCCGCAGAAGGAAGGTTGGGCAATCTACTTCTGTAGTGATACTGCCTCGGAAACCCAAGGAGGGGTTGCTATGAGTCAGGGCTGACTTGACGGCATATTAACAACAACAATCCCTCAGATATATGACTATGAAATTAGGAAATTCCCAAGTAAGGAGAAATTAAGGATTTGTAAAAACGAGACAAACTTTATAAAAACTACTACAGGTAGTCCTCCGGACAAAAAAACAAAGAAAGACAACAACCTAAGATTAAGACGTGACAATATCACCCAGAAACCAACCCAGAGAAAGAATTCACAAAACTAAAATGAGCTATGAATCTGAAAATAAAGAGCCAGAAGCCTCAGTTGATAAATGACAACTACAAAGCAAAAAGGGGGAATAAATACTATAATTACAGAACTTCCAAATGAAGAGGAAATCATGATGATACTAAGGTAGA